CTCACCCCCACTTTGTGCAGTTCCAATTGCACATGCTCCTCTACCCACTGAATAAGGTCTGTCTTACCAATTTAACAAGTGTCACACACAGCAGCACTGTGTGTTGCCTGTACTGCTGCTCCTAAGGACCTCGAACCTTTGTGTTAAACACAGCATGTTAAGCCATGCCACAGGGAGCTTTGCACATTGTCATCTTGGTCCCTCATATGGATTTTTGGGGTTGGCATTTTCACAGCAGTCTTCCAGGCCATTTGAGAGTGACTCAGGTTTTCAAGCTCTCCAATTTTAGGCTTGGAAATCATGGAGATACCTGGAAAAAAAAAACAAAAAACCACAATGCAGGAGCCATCAAGCAATAAGTGAGCCAACAACCAGTGGTGACGACAGGTAGTGGTCTTTACTATTACTCTGGTTTGTGATCGAGCATTGCAGGGACCTGTCAGCTTTATCAGGTGTGAAACCACCCTACTGCTGTGCCAATTTTTGTGAAAATGTACCCTGGACTAGTTTGAGCAGAAATAGAAATAGTAGGACACATACAGACGTGAAAATGAATGTGAATGAAAGAATTTTTTCTTATTATATACTGAGTATAATAAGAAACAAGGGGCACAGCAGGCCACTTGGGCCAGTGGGGAGGAGACCAGTGCCAGCTGGGAGCAAGAGTCTTTAAGAGGTTGATTTGGATGAAATGGAAGGAGTAGATAAGGAAGAGCTCAACTTATGAATCTATCCATCTCTTCCGGATCATCTGTTCTCTTGGCTTTTAAGGGTTCTATTAGCCTCTCATGATCCTTTGTTTTTCTTCAGTGGCCATGTCTTCTATTTGATTTGTGATTTTGAGTTCTCACTCTTTTGTCTGAATCTAGCTTGAAGTGTTTCAATTTTGATTATCTGTAAAATGGGCAACCTTTATCTCATTGATGGTTTCTACTGTCTTTTGAGTTTTGATTTCTGCTCTAATTTTATTATTCCTTTCCTTCTGCTAAGTTTGAGCTTCTATCTATTTCTCTCTCTCTCTCTGTCTCTCTCTCTCTATATATATATATATATATATATATATATGTCCTTCAGGTTAGAGGTTAATTTGTTTCTTTGACATCTTTATTCTTAAGGGAGGTGTTTATCATTATTATCTCTTAGAACTGTTTTTACTGCACCTCATTTTCTATGTTATGTTGTATTTTTTTTAAAAAAAGATTTATTTTTATTTATTTATGCATACAAGAACTGGGGTACAAGGCAGAGGTGCAGGGGATGAGAGGATTCACTAGAGGGAGTAGGAGCAGAACAGGCAGATCTACTAAAATACACTGCTGAGGGGAGCAGCGGGCAAGACAGGAGAGGTCTGCTATGCCATGGGGGTCAGCTCCTTGGCCAGGGATCGAACTCATGCTATAGTGGTTGGGGATAGCTAGATAGCACTGAGACTTTAACCCCTGAGCCACCAGGGAGGCCCTATCTTCTTTGTTTTTCTTGCTTCTGGAGATGAGTCCTCAAAGATGTTTCTGAGACGTTTTTTACATTGTTGTTCATATTTTTATAGTATTTGATTTCTCCCTTAGGTGTAGTCCCTGTAAATATCCCACCACCAGATCACCTATGGACCATCACCATGGCCCCTATGTTCTTCCCACCCATTTTGATACCTTTTCCTCCCCCTTCCTTGCTTTAAGCCTCAGATATAGTTGCTTACAAGTTTTGACTTTTTTGTTTTTTGACCATGTTAGGTTTCCTTATATTCCTCCTATAAGTGATATTATCCTGTATTTCTTTTTCCTCTGACTTATTTCACTGAGTATAATTCCTTCTAGTTCTATCCATGTTGCTGTAAATGGCATGAATTTATCTCTTTTAATTGCTAGGTAGTATTCCATTGTGTATATAGACCATATCTTGATCTAGTCATCTGTTTTGGTGCATTTAGGTTGTTTCCGTACCATAGCTATTGTAAATAGTGCTGCAATGAACATAGGAATGAAGGTTTCATTTTGAATTAATGTTTTTGTGTCCTTTGGGTAGATTCTTAGGAGTGGAATTACTGGATCATATGATAGATATATTTTTAATAATTTGAGTGCCCTCCACACAGCTTTCCATAGAGGTTGGACCAGTTTGCATTCCCATTAGCAGTGTAAAAGGGTTCCTTTATCTGCACTGTGAAGTCATCCACAGCCTCTGCAGCACGGGTTCGATCCCAGCTGCCCGGGGAGAAACCCACATGGTGCAGCAGACCTCTCCTGTCTCACTTGCTGCTCCACTCAGCAGTGTATTTCATTAGTCTGCCTATTCTGTTCCCTGCTCTGTTTCTGGTGAATCCTCTCACCCTCCTGTGCCTCTGGCCTGTACCCCAGTAAAAAATTTATTTATGCATACAAGAACTGGGGTACAGGCCAGAGGTGCACATGGTGTGTGTGTGTGTGAGAAGATTCACCAGAGATAGAGTGGGGAACACAATAGGCAGATTGACTAGAGTCCATTGCTGAGGGGAGCAACAGGTGAGACAGGAGAGGTCTGCTTCACCATGTGGGTCACCTCCCTGGCCTGGATTGAACCGGTACTGCAGTGTCTGAGGATAGCTTCATAGTGCTGTGACTTAACCCCATGTGTCACCAGAGAGGCCCCTGTTAGTTTTTTTCTTAATGTGGACCATTCTTAGTGGTGCAAGTTGGTATCTCATTGTGGGTTTGATTTGCATTTCTCTGTTTATAAATGATGTTGAGCATTTTTTCATGTGCCTGTTGGCCATCTGCTTTGCCTCTTTGGGGAAGTGTCTTTTTAGCTTTCCTGCCCACTTTTTGACTGGAGTCTTTTTTTTTTTGTTTCTGTTGAGTTGTGTAAGCTCTTTGTGTATCTTTTCTATAAGTCCCTTAACAGTTGTGTGGAGTGCAAATATTTACTCCCAGTCTGTAGGGTGTCTTTTTGTCTTGATTATTGTCCTTTTTTTAAAAGATTTTATTTATTTATGCATAGAAGAGCTGGGGTACAGGCCAGAGGTGTGGGGGTGGGTCATCAGAGACAGAGTGGGGAACAGAGCAGGCAGATTGACTGAAGTACACTGCTGAGGGGAGCAGTGGGGCAAGTCAGGAGAGGTCTGCCACACCCTCACCTGTGGCCGGGGATCGAACAGGTGCTGCAGAGGCTGCGGGCAGCTTTGTAGCCCAGCGCTCAACCGCTGCACCACGGTGGAGGCCCTATGTTCTCTTATATATTTTATGGTGTCAGGTCTTACATTCAAGTCTTTTATCCATTATGAGTTGATATTTTTGTATATGGTGTGAGATAGTAGTCTAGTTTCATTCTTTTGCTTGTGGCATTCCAGTTTTCCCAGCACCATTTATAAAAGAGCCTTTTTTGTTCCTTTGTGTACTATTTTCTCTTTGCAAGGTTAGTTGACCGATTTTGAGTGGTTTTATTTCTGAGTTTTCCATTTCCTTTGTTAGTACATCTTCTTCAATGTACTTTTCAGAACAGCCACTGACGCTAAGAAGACTAGGAAAACTTTTACTACCTTAGAGGTTCATTGTTCACTGGTGCACTGGTGCTGCAAGAGACCGTGTGCATTGATTAGAAGTTTTGAATTTATTATAGTGGGTTCACTTATCAGGGGGTAGCTGGAAAGGGGTGTTCCTTTGCTCCTCACTTTTTATTACACAGGGCCACTGTTTCTCTCTCTCACTCTCTTCCCCCTCCCTCCCTTCCTACACCTGAGCACCTGTGCCTGAAAGTGTGGTGCCTACTATTGTACTTTCACCTCTGCACTGGCTGGAGCTGGTCTCAGCCTGCAGGTGGCGTGCCTGGGTGCACCCCGCAGCACTCTCTGGCTAACTTTGTTGACTAGGATTCTTTGCTTCACCATTCTTTCTTTAAGATACCGAACCTTCGCATAGGTTCATCTGGCACTTCCTTGGAAAATCTATGATAGACAGAACCCTCTAAGTTAGTTTTGCCAGAAAACACAAACGTCTACTTCACATCGTCTTGTGTATCAGATCAGGATCCTCATCCTTTCCCGCTACCCACGTGATGTTTGAGCACACTGATCTGCCCAAAAGGGGATGGTGAAGGCTGACCCAAAAACCCATCTTGTAAAAAAAAAAAAAAAAAAAAACCCATCTTGTGCAAAGCTACATTTTACTGAATTTTTCATTATCTTTTTTTTTTTAAGTACTACCATTTATTGGTAATAAACGCTTGTTTTACTTACATTCCATGGGCTGAGAGAATGCCACCGCGAACAATGAATTAAAACAGTCCTTACCCCACTTGACGGTGCTGTGTTCTGGGTTGAATCTACTCCCTCCCACTGAAAATCTTAATTGCAGGGATTTTCCTGGTGGTGCAAGGGTTAAGTCCTAGTGCTATCAAGCTATCGCCAACGACTGGCAATAATTCGATCCGATAGCCAACCAGTGGCAAGAATTCGATCCGATGTGGGCCAGGATGCTACCCACATGGCACAGCAGACCTCTCTTGTATCGCCTGCTATTGCTCCCCTTAGCAGTGTATATCAGTAGTTCTGCCTGTTCTGCTCCCACTATCTCTGTGAGTCCTCTCCCACACCCACAACTCCGCCTGCACCCAGTTCTTCTATCCATAAATTAACAAACCTTTTTAAAAAATCTTAATCGCAGAGGTACCTATACCTATCGCTTAGTTCCCAAATACAGCTTATCTTACCATCTTGAAAGTGTGATTAAAAAAATTTTTGTAACGGGCACAGTAAGGGCCATGACCCCCAAAACATGCTCGCCAGCACCACGCACCTTGCCGCTAAACCACATTTTGGCATCACGACTTGAGGCACTAACAATACCTTCGCCTGAGAGTGGTCAGCCTCGCAAGGAATCTACAGTACAATCCCCAGGTCCTCCTTGGAGGCAGTTTTGTTACAAGGCAGGGTGAGGGGGCCCCCCTAAATCCCCAAACTTGCCCGCTCTATATAGGTTCTGCCATCGCCGCGTCAAGACAAAACATACTCAAGTGCGTAAGACCTTTAGTGGAAAGGAGCTTTAATACAGTTAGTGTGCAACCCAGAGAAGGAAAGAATATGGTTTCCAAATCAAGCACCCAATGTTACTCATCCCTTTGTGAATAAATGCTCGAACAGGGTTGGCCCAAAGCAGGACTACTGAAGCCCAAAAGCCTGCCACAAGTCTAAGGCTCGTTGCGGGGACCCATCGGAAACAGGCAGAAACAGCCAGACAAGTCTGGGAGGAAAAGAGCAAAATCAAAATCAAGATAAAAGCTGCCATTGTTAGCCTCCCCACGGGTCTCTCACCACATGTTTCAACCAGTCCAGGACCAAGAGGCAAGTGCGGCTTCTTCAAGCGTCTCTAGGCTCCATGTGCCTCCTCCAGGTCTCCTAGCTCTCCATCCTGCTTCCTTCCTTCCTCTCCAGTTTCCTCTCCAGCTCAGCCTCCTCCCAGTTCAGCTCCACCCTTCCCTGGGTAGGGCTGGGAACCTGGACCCTCCCCTTTCCTGGGAACCACCCTGTTCCAGTTTCTTCCCGACACTATACTTCTTCAGGTGCTTATACTTTCTCTAGGCTCATCTGTGTACTTTCTTGTAAAACCTACTAATGGAGACAACCTGATTGTCTCACCAGAAGCTGCCCTTCCATTTCTGATCCCTCTGGGAGATCAGACGATCAGGATCCCCAGCCTTTCCACCCTCCACGTGATTTCTGAGCACACCAACCTCCGAAAAGAGACATTCCAGGCCGACTAAACAACTCCATCTTGCGTTGAAACTCCATTTTACTGAACTTTTCCTTTTTTTTTTTTCAAAAAACAATTTTCTGTGGTGGCGTAACAGGGTAATAATCCCCAGGGAAAGGGGAGGTTCCAGGTTCCTTGCTCCACCCAAGGAAGGGTGGAGCTGAGCAGAGAGGAAAAGCTAGAAAAGACTGGGGAAGCAATAAGGGACGCGGAGTGAGATAAAGAATGAAGACTGGAGGAAACACATGGAGCAGTGACGTGAAAAAGCTGCATTTGCTTCTGAACTTAGACTGGTGCCAGGGACTTTGGGGAAATGGAAGGAGACTTGAAAGAGACTTAGATGAGAGACCCATGGGCTGCCATGACAATGGCAGCCCTTATCTTGATTTTGATTTTGTTCTTTTCTTCCAGACTTGTCTCACCCCTTCTGCTCCTTTTCTACGGGTCCCCACCAGCCTTAGAATTGTGGCAAGTGGCAAGCTTTGGGTCTCAGCAATCATGCTTTGGACCAATCCTGTTTGGCTGGGCATTTACCCGCAAGGAGATGGGTTACTTCGGGTGCTTGATTTGGAAACTATCTTCTTTGCTGAACTGCAGCACGGTGCGCGGCGTCCACCGGCCACCCTTAGCCATGATGCTGCGCAGGGCACCACTCGGGCCCTCTTGGTGACCCACTGTGTAGACCCATCTTGGCCATCAGCACAGTACTCTGGGAGGCAGCTACAGGAGGATCCGGCAACCAACCAGCAAACAGCAACCACCGATCAGCAGGGGTAGTGGCTACAGCCGATAAAGATTATGAGTCCCAGCAGTCCAAAGACCTAATAATAGCTAAAAATAACAACAACAACAATAATAATAACTAATATATTAGTCTTATGGGAAACCACCCTGCTCACGGCACCAAATTTTCTAAAATTGTTTCCTGGACTCGTTTTGAGCAGAAACAGTGGAACCCACACACATGAAAATGATCGCAACGATGGCTTTAAACATTTTTCTCACAGTCCCCTAGAAACGGGGACACAGTAGTCATGTGGGGTCATTTGGAAAGTGCTCTGAGCTTTGGAGTCTTTAGGAGGTTTCTTAGGTAAGGAAAAGTGGAAGGAGGCAGGATAAACAGGTACAGGAAGTGCGGGGACTTAAGTTTCTGTGCATTCTGACCTATAGGGGTGGTTTCGGTTTTCTGGTATCTATCCTGGGGATAGAGTCCTGGAGCTAGAGGTCCTGATAAAAGGAACCTGGTAGGCGGTATGGATTTCGATTGGTTCACTTGCATATCAAAGTTTTATTTGCAAGTAAATTGTCCGTTATCGTCATTAGTAATTCCTGAGAGGGGGCAGTTTAGGCTTTAAAGACCAGGGCATGTGGAATACATAAAATATTAGAATATATTGTTAGTTCAGCGAACCCTGTGGTACTCACGCATTTCATAAAGGAATTTTGGAACATGCATTTTCTGTCAGCCGTGGATATGCAAGATGACCATATCCTAGAGATCTCCTGTGCACTTGGTGCCCGTAGATAACAATAAGCATATTGTCCACTGAATCTGTTAAGAGGGTTGAGATCATCATGTTAGGTGTTTTTTCCATAACACAACAAAATACAATAACATAACCATTATTTCAGAGGCAAACAGACAGGAAACGGAACGCTAACATAACTTTTAGTAAAATTAGCAAAAGTTGGAAGCCAGTTCTGAACTAAGAATGCCCTGTCATGCCAGCTACGAAAATTAAGTCAGAGATTTCTTATATTTTGGCCAAAGAATCTTGATCCCTATTTAATAGGCTTGATGTCTCAAGTGCACCTTAGCAAAATTAGATAAAGCCTGGGACATTTTGTTGATAGGTTTGTGTGATTTGATTTTGTCTGGCGATGCCGGTAACTGGGGGCGCAAAAACCATAACTCGCAAGGATGTAAGCAATTCAACAAATAAAGTAATGAGAACAGGAACACACTTATGTCTTAGTCAAGTTTAGGCTGAAGGGGACAGTGCCTGGGGTAGATAGTAAAGAAACGGAAGGGACAGTGACGCCTGTGATCAGGATTGAGCAGGAGTACTTTCATAGGGCAACACTGGTATACGTGATAATTTTTGTTATTAAACTAACAGTAAAAGCCCAATCCTGATGCATATGGTCACAGGTAAAACTGGGGCCCTAGACATAGTTTTTGAATATTGGGGGGCTGTGTGAACGTCATATAACTCCCCTGTCAGGACAAAGCAAAAGATGCCAGTTATGTTGATCAACACAAATCCTATCCGGAGGGTTCCCTAATTGGAAACATTTTAGATTTTTTAAATCTTAGAAGTTAGTGTAATGGGAGTGATGGAGTGAGTCGGACAGTCTTTGGAGGGTTAACCTTCCCTGGTAGGGGAACCGGGGAGTGTCAGTAGGTTGTGCATGTGACAAGGGCTGTGGCAGATGTATCGGGTGATGTTCCTGGCAATTGTGGGCTTGTTTCTGGCAATTGTGGGCTTTCAAACACTTCGCTGTCATTTCCGAGAATTGAATGTAAACATTGGCAGTATCAGAATGACATAGGGAAGAATACTTCTTTGCTTATTGACTTTAAATGTGTGGATTGTGGGTTATAACAGGCAGAGTTGAGTGGAGATGATATGATGAGTTCGTGGAAGATTTGAAAAATCCTGTCATTGTTGAGTTGGTGAGGCAAAGACATATGAGGTGGGGCCTCCCCGGTGGCGCAGCAGTTGAGTGCTGGGTTGCGAAGCTGCCCGCAGCCTCTGCAGCGCTGGTTTGATCCCCGGCTGCTCCCCGGCCACCAGAGGAGGGTCCCACATGGCGCGCAGACCTCTCCTGCCGCCCGCTGCTCCCCTCCGCAGTGTACTTCGGTCCTTCTGCCTGCTCTGCTCCCCGGTCTGGCTCTGGTGAATTCTCTCACCCTCCTGCGCTTCTGACTGTACCCAGTCAGAATTGAATAAATAAATAAATTGCATAAATAAATAAATAAATCTAAAAAAAAAAAAAAAAGACATATGTGGTGAAGAACTAATGGCGATCGGGGGCCAACAATGGCCAGCAGAGATTAGTAGAGCAGCACATAGAAGCGTCAAATGCTCTAACTGAAAAATCAAACCAATCAAATTGGTGATGGGGTTAGGGGTTAAGACACAGCACTAAAAAGCTATCCGGCAGCCGCCGCAGCATGAGTCGAATCCCTAGCCAGGGAGGTGACCCACATGGCGCAGCAGACCTCTCCTGTCTCGCCCGCTGCTCCCCTCAGCAGTGTTATTTCAGTAGACCGGCCTGTTCTGCTCCCCACTCTGTCTCTGGTGAATCCTCTCACCACCCACACCTCTGGTCTGTACCCCAGCTTTTGTTTGCATAAATAAATAAATCTTTAAAAAAAAAGACTAATGGGAAGTATAATTATCAAAAAACAAACAAACAAAACCCCAAATTGGCAATGAGAGAATAGGCTTGGAGCTAGCGTATCCCCGATCCTTCCTTACATCCTTCCTTACTGTTTTCGTTGTTCTTATTGTTTTTACTTTCTTACATCATTGTTCTCCACTCTGAGGTAGTCCCCGTAGTTCTCACATATCACCCCTGAAATGTCACCACAGTCCCTTGGGCTCTTTCCCTCCCCTCTTTTGACGCCTCTGCTCCTCTCTCACTTGCTGCTTGCCTCAAATCTATGGTCACCTTGCAAGTTTTTGTCTCTTTTCCTGGCCCTTATTTCAGTTTTCCTATGTTCCATCTACAAGTGAACTAGACACCTGATGCATGATCTACTGCAGACCAGTCTCGGGGAGGCTTGGAGTCACAGCCGGGATAGTGTGAAGCAGTGGCGCTGGGTTGAGTCCAAGGGTTAATTCTGAATACGGTTCCAGCGGAACTGAGATCATCTTTTAGCTGTGAAGTCCTGGGCTGGGGTAATGCCAACTGTACCTGCAGAAAGGTCCTTCCCAGCGAACGAGCATTTTAAATGAAAATTCAGTAAGACTTGTGTATCTTGGCTTATCGATTTTGACGCTGGGAAGCCCCATGCAGGACTTTAAAGCAGTGGATTATCCATTCTCAGACAGCGGGTGGTTTTGTTACACCACTCACTTAAGGAAAAGAGAAAGAGTCATCTATCTTTTGACTAGAAAATTCAACCCTCCTTAATATCATGCTTAAAGCTTCACTTCCAACTAACCATGGGACGCACACAACAGGGTGGTAGAGGACTGAGCTTGCACACCCACCGCTTCTCAGACTACCCAAACTCGGGCAGGAGACAGAGGTAAAAACCAAAAGACAATGCTTTCCTTGAAACTCAATGCATATGTAGAACATCTCTACGAATATTTCCATCAATATGTGTAATCTTCTTAAAAAATTTAAAAAAAATGCAACTCATTACAAGTCGGGGGTCCTGGTTTTGGTCCCAAAGACCCCCTCAATACTAGCTTGCAGGGCATAACAAATGCGCGTATCACTTGCTGTTCTGTGTCTTTGCTCCTGCACACACAGAGAACACGAACCTCTGGTGTTCTGCGGGTTTCAGTTTGAATTTGAACTGAGGGTGAGTAGCCCTCAGTTTCTGAAGGAAAAAAAAAATTACTTTGTTCTGACTCTACTTTGTTTTTCGCTGTCTTGGTTATGGAGAATGTATGGACTTTAGACATCACGCATTAAATTCATACGTGATGGATGAGCATTTACTCATTTGCACAATCTTCTCTGAATTCTCCTTGATACATTTACTTACACCGCCTTTCTCCGTGTGTCCATCATGTACCCATGCAACTTTAAGTTATGTACTTCAGCTTGCATTATTCTTTGCTGAGCTGCTTTGTTCGTTCCTGTTCCAACAACCAGTAAGGCGAGGACGTCAGCGCTTCCAACCTTCCCTCTTTCCTAGGAAGATTTTGTCAAGAATAGTTCCATTTTGGGCTGGAGGGATCAAAGACAGGATAAAATGAAGATATTTTGATCTCATTTGATTGTGAATCATAGGTAGATGTTCATAGTAATAGAATTTTGGGGGGAATAATCCAGATTAAGTTCTTTTGTGACTCAGGAATGAGATAAAGGTTTTCCTCTCTCTCTTCCTCCTTAACTTTTAGCAGCTGCCAATTTGGTCGTATATAGTGTACAAGTTAATATTTATTTCGTTCAGGTTTTTTTTCCCCCAATATATTACATCTGAGTGAACTCATATGGTGTTACAGTGTTTGTCTTTCTCCACCTGACTCATTTCATTAACCAGAATGCCTTCTAGGCGCATCCATGTTATTATTGCTCATCCATGCTGGTACTTTTTTGATGTAGCCAGAAAAGGTCCATGGATGACTTTTATGTAACGTGCCAGACTTATTTTCTGTTTTCAACTTTTTTTTTTTTTAACTAAAACTTACAGGTGTTGTAATTGGCTAAACATGTCAATTAGGAATAACAGGAATAATAACTAAGTCATTTCACTTTCTTGGGGAGTGGGTGGGAGGAATGGTAGGCTTATTGTTTAACAGTTCAGATATAGATTCGCCAAATATACTTGGTGAGTAACTTAGGGTTTTTGGAAGTCTCATAATAATGTTTAGCGTGTCCCGTATGCTCTTTTCTGAGTGCTAGAGGAATTTTTGTGGTCCCAGGAGAATCTTCATTTCCCTAGGAAAAACTCTCTTCTTTAATTCCCTTCTGTTTTAGGGTTGTGGGTTTTTTTTAAAAAAAATATTAATGCACTTGGGACCTCCCCAGTGGCGCAGCGGTTGAGCACTGGGTTGCGAAGCTGTCCCAGCCTCTGCATCGCCAGGTTCGATCCCCGGCTGCTCCCCGGCCACCGGAGGAGGGTCCCACAAGGCGCGCAGACCTCTCCTGCCGCCCACTGCTGCCCTCAGCAGTGTACTTCGGTCCTTCTGCCTGCTCTGCTCCCCGCTCTGGCTCTGGTGAATTTTCTCACCATCCCGCGCTTCTGACTGTACCCAATGCTTGTATAAATAAATCAATAAATCTTTAAAAAAAATAATGCACGTAACTCCGCTGAGCTAAGGAACATGTGAACAGTTACATCCAAGTTTTTTGTGTGGAGGCAATGACACCTCTTTTAATACAGCTGCATGACCAGTAATATTGAAACCAGTTTTATAAGATGCATCATGATTTCAGAGATGTTCAAGTATGAAAAATGTGTCTAGCTTTGGTGAAATACATTATGTCAAGGTGAAATGCATTATGTCAAGGTGGTTGGGTTAATGTATAATGGGTTGCTTTCATCAATTCCAAGGTTAGTGCTTTTGGGTGTGTTAAAAATATCTAAAGGAGGTTATAAACCAACAGTTGCAAAAGCCCAGACTTACAATGGAAAAAATATGTAGCTGCAAAAGCAAGAGCTGAGAAATACACACAAAAATGGAAACTACGTGTGCAAAAGCAGTGGACAAGTTTTTAAAACAGGGACAAAGTCACAAGCTCAGCTAAAGAGTGTAACCATAATTACACTAGCTGTACCCAAAGAGCCAAGGAGTGCCTTCTAGAACTGCTTTTACACAAAGCATAAACTCCAATCAGAGACCCTCTCCATTTGAGGTATGCTTGTTCTCCTTATCAAGATTATAAAGCCATATTCACTTATATGATTGATTCAGGTTTGTGTTCCTCATCACACTAAACCGTTTACACCCCACTATATTCCTAGTGTGTAGGACAGGATGACTGATGGCTTTCGGTTAATATTCATAATCCTTTGATGTGCCGTGCATGTCACTGATCGCCTGTCTTCCCTCCGCCTGTTTTCCATTTGTAAAAGAGATTAGTAATAGGTTGCAAGAATTTCTCTTCTCCACTCTCCTTTACCCACTCCACTTCCCCTCCCCATATACCTTCAACACAGTGTTCAGCACGAATGAAGGGTTCATTAATCAGCAGCTTTTGTTAGCTGCTGCTCAACGTGGCAAAAACTGCGAAACCGCCTAGCCCTTCTCGCCCCATTTTCCTTCCCACAGCTCCTGTGTTGCTTTGAATGTCCATTTGGGCCTCCAATGCGCAAACCCCGGTCTCTGTCTCGTGTCCTGCCTGCACTACCAAAAACAGTCATTTCGGCTGGAACAGGTTTGATCTCACAAGTTGCAGAGTGGGGCCCCGGCCCGGGAGGAAGTGCGGGCTCTGGAGATCACGAGGCAGGCAGGGTCCGGGCGGGAGGAAGGGGCTCCGCGCCGGGGGTGGAGGTGGGCAGTGGGCGGTCCCCAGCTCCTGCGTCAGTAGGGGCCCTGTTTTCGCACCTTCCCTGACGTCAAACCTCAATCAGGGTTGCGAGGCTACGTTCCCCCTGGATGGCAGTGGGCTAAGTCGTGACTGGGGGCTCGGGTCCGCCAGTGCCGGCCTCGCCCCGCCGCTGCGCTCCCGGGGAGGCTGCAGGCGGCCACAGTTGCGCGCTTCGCGGGCAGCTGCGCTCTGGACGGCGCCGGGCTGCGGGCCCCGCCATGGAGCCGGCATAGGTCGGGGGTGCGCTCGCCCTCCTGAAAGGCCCGGAAGGCATCCCGGAGGCCTCCGCGGAGGTGAGAGCCCGGCGGGGCCGGCCCGGCCGCGGGCCAGGCGGGGCGGGGCGGCGCGGGGAGACGCCCGCCGGCTCCGTGCGCGCGGCCGGGGGTGGGGCTTGCTCGCCGCGGGCCCCGGCGCCTCTTCCCCGCGGAGGTCGCGCCGCTCCGGCTGCCGCTTCGCAGGTCCTCGGCGTCCCCGCGCCTGGAGTGCCGTCCCCCCTCCGGCGGGAGCGGCCCGGCGGCTGCTGGCCGGGATCGAGGTGGCTGGGGGATCGGGCGGAGGTGGGGCGCGCGCTCCGTGCCGGCTGTCAGGGCCCCGGGGCCGGAGGGTCCCGCGCGGGGCCTGGGGTGGGTCTGCGGGGGGGCGGCCTGCCGGGCCGCGGTCAGGGCTTTGTCGCCGCGGGAAGTTGCGGGGGGCAGCACCTGTGGGACCCAGGTCCGGGGCCACCTGTGTGCAGACCCCCCTTCCCGCCCGGCCCGGCGCCGTGGCCAGCTGTTCCAGACCGAGGCCTTTACCGGCCTCTGGCGATTAGAATTTATTATGGAAACATGCGATTTTTGTGTTAATCGTGTTACTGTCGTGCAACAGTTGTGCACATCTGGTCAATGACGCCGGCGTAATTGCGCATCTAGAAAGGCCTTTTCCCGCTCTTAGCATCCGACGAGATGATTCTGCGCGTGGAAGAAGCGCGTGAGATACTCTCGAGGAACGAGAACTTTTTTTAAGCCCCTGAATGGAATTACAATTAACCTTTTTTTTTTTTTGCAATAGTTATAGGCTCAAAAAAAAAAAAAAAAAAAAACCCACCCCGCAAAAAATAACTGAGAAGGCACAACAGTTGCATCTTTAAGAGGGTCACTAGTAATTATTTGGTGTCTGTGAGCATTCGTGTTATGTCGTAATGTGTCTTTTTAAAAAATACTTACTACACTGAGGATTTTTTTCTGTATCAATGCATAAATATCTTTCCACTGCATTCAAGCGTACGACATTGATTTGGATTCGCAGCCTGGAAGGCAGGAGGAATTCTATGCTTCCCCTTTGCTAAATGCCACCTTTTGTTAAAAAGCTCATTAAAAATTTGATATGGAAATTAGCCTGATTCAGGGTTAATAACCATGTTCTATAAAATATTGTTTGCTCTGATTAATAATTTGAGGCAGTGTTTTTTTCAAGTGTAGTTTTCTACCCATTAGTGAATTGCAAATTTAGCTAGCATAACTAGCATTTTGAAAAAAATGAAATAAGATGGCATAGAAAATACCAGAATGTGTAATATGTGAGGAGGGTATTATTTTGTGAAACAGTGTGTGTGGTAGGGTGCCTGCATCTGTTTCTTTGTTGTGATATAAAATGTATTGCTCTCCGTGGGCCCTGCTCAATAAATTCAAGGTATGTTAGCACTCTTCTTAGAGTGGGAGTAATGTTATTAAGCATTAGTTTTACTCTTTGGATGTAAGCAGTGTTTATTGTAGCAAATCAGATTCTTAATTATATTTTCAGGTAATATTAAATCGATACTTAGCATTCCTGAAAATACAGAGATTAAGTGTTTCATAGAGGTGACAAGGTTAAGATATACTATTCAGACTGCGTAGGGTGAAATCCCAGCTTTAGTGGTTATTGGTGTGTGACCTGGTGCAAGATACTGCACCTCTCACAACCTCAATTTCCTGATTTGTGAAGATCTGTATGACATAAAGCTGTTTGGTATTTAGATGAGACAATAATGAATGTGAAACTGGTGTCTGGCCTAAATTAAGTACTCACCAAAAGTTAGCTATTATTATTATATTAAGACTGAATGTTGATATGCAGCATAATGCTAGTCATCAGAGGTGTAAATCAGTTTAAGGTGGATAATCCTAAAGCATTGGATGTTGAAAATTAGTTAATGTAAAGGAGACTCTTAAGATTAAAGGAAGGAAATCGAGATGGCCTTTTTGTATAATTTGGCCAATTGTTTAGTGATTGCTCCCCAACTGTTTTCCTTTTGCTAGTTAAATAATTTAAATTATTTTATTCAGTAAGCCTAGTGCTCCTCTGTTTTTTTTTTTTTTGTTGTTGTTGTTCTTATTTAATAGTAAGTTGTGTGCTTCTCTTGTCAGACAATTGAAAAATATTTCCCATAGGGATTCTGGATTTTGTTAACTGATTTTAACACCGCAACGAGAAACACACACACAGCAACTCAGAACTCAATTCAAACAGTGTTTATCTCTGTAACAGGTACAGATCTCAGGTGTATAAGAAACCATCTGGAGGAAAAAATATAACTATTTCTGTTTGGAGACAGCTGTGCTGAATGTAGTCATCTCAGGTAGCTTGAAAGATCTGTTTGCTGCCCCTGACCGGTTTCTACAACCTTAAATGTTACGTAAATCAACGAAGTTAAGAGTATCAGCACTCTCATTTTTTTTTGGTAGCATTGTTATTTTTATGAAAAATAAATATACTTTGCAGTGGGAAAAAAAAGGCCAGTGCAAATGTCTATAATTGGGTGTGATAACTCTAACAGGTTGGGGAAAATCTTGAGGTGGATTATAATACTATTCTAAGTTTTGAAAATGTCTAAAATTCTTGTTAGTTTAGAAGAATCGAAATGGAAAGTTGTTAAAGGTAAATTTTATATGTTTTATGGAAATATAAAAAAATTACTTGGAGCTCTACCACAGAAAAACCCCAATAAAACAAAAAACTCTAAATTGATCTTAAACATACATGCTCATTGTTTTGAGTTAAGTAAAATATTAAGGTTATGTATTTACTTTTTAAATGTTAACTCTCACCAGGTATTGAGGTTTTTCAGATAAAGGGAGCTTTTATCCTACACTGATAAAATACTATGCATCATAGAACATTCTGTTTAATAAATTATTATTTATATATCAGGTAGATGCCCTTATCATATATGGTTGAGAGAGGAGGCTGTAGAATAGAATGTACCAAACCATTCCAATTTTGTAAAATAGAATGTACAGTATAAAAACATGTTTAGAACAAAGGTTTTTATTGCTTTCTATTTTTGTAATTGTACTGTGTTTTACTTTTGTAACAAAAATTAATAAAAGTCATTTTTAAGGAAAAAATAGTGTGTGTTTTCCTAAATTATAAGTGTAAAAATGAAACAAGTATTTGCTTTAAGGGATACTGAATCTTTGATTTTGAGTATTTTGGGTATTAATGAATTCTCTAGTATTCTTGGAAAATGGTGCTGAATATTTTAACAATTATATTCCTTACCCTGTGAAAACTACTTTGTGTATTAAAGAACCATTGTTCCAGAATTTTCTTCAGCACTCTTTAAATATACTGCTTTCCAAAAAACGTCCTCACTGCCTTAAGATAGGTCTAGATAATATAGTCTGCTTTTCAGTCCTAATGTATTAAAACTGAATTTATTTTTCTTGTTTTGTTGCTCCTTAAATTCTCAAAACCTCAGCTCCAACTAAATTTGTCAGTTATCTCCAAATCACTGTGCTTTCTTGCTTTTGTACTTGCTTGTTATTTGGAATATCTTTTTTTCTGACCTTTGTTAAGCAAATCCTACCTATTTTCCAACATCTAGTAAATAATTCCTATCTACTGTGACATCTGGCCACTCCAGCTAAAACTAAAATTTGCAACTGAACCCATTAGCACTTATTATTTTGATTAGATAGTTCTCAGATACCACCTGATATTTTTGCATTAATTTCCCAATTCCATTTTAAACTCCTTGAGGGCAAGAAAGCTTGTCTTATATTTCTTTCTATCCCTTAAAGCTTCTAGCATAGAACCCTACACAGGGTAGGTGCTTAATATTTGTTCTTGATGATAACAGCAGTATTACTGACTCTTGAGTACTAATAAAAAATTCGTTATTTGGTTTGTCAATTGATATGGATACATGATAAAGATTTGGCAATATTTTTCACTAAAACTAACCCAGTGCCAAGGAGTAGTTAGTCAAGGATCCAAACTTAATTTCACATAAATATTTCTTTCAAAGGCTTCTCATGCAGGTTATTTTGAGTTTGATAGCATTAATGTTACTAACCTTACCAGAGGCACTGTTGCACCTCACATTCTTTTTTACAGCTATTCCCAGAACCCAGAGATCTGGTATTTGGTGATGGGTTATATGTTACTCTGGCCCAGAACATCTTAGGAGGTCATGTGAGAATCAGTGAATTACTATATGTAAAGTGCTTTATGTCCAAAATGTTTTTCCTATTACTGGAAATAATTGTGTCATTTTTAAGCTTAAATATGACTTGGGGGTACTTATGTGGCCAATGATAGAAACTAATGGGGCTTATCTTTTTAAAAATTGTTTTAATTTACAGATGTTTGCCAGGACTAACAGAGCCGATGATGAAATACCTGTCCATTTGTGCTCAAGGTAAATTATTGGTTACTTTATATATAAAAATACAAGGTACCAGGGGCCTCCCTGGTGGTGCAAGGGATTAAGTCCCAGCACTATAAAGCTATCCACGAGTTAGATCCCCAGCACGAGTTAGATCCCCAGCCAGGGAGGTAACCCACAAGGCGCAGCAGACCCCTCCTGCCTAGCCTGCTTGCTGCTCCCCTCAGCAGTGTATGTCAGTAGATCTGCCTGTTCTGCTCCCACTGTGGTGAATCCTCTTACCGCATCTCCCCACCACCGCTCCTATGGTCTGCACCCCAGCTGTTGTATACATAAATAAATAAATTTTTTTAAAAAAATACCAGAACCAGTAGAACAGAATTTGTATAAAATGACTTGTCCAGTCATACAAAGTAATATAATCCCAGACTCCAAATAAATGATCCCATTAATAAACATTTCATTAATATATAAATTATGTTAACATCTCCTTGGAGTACTTTAAATGTTCATGGTATGCATGTACCTGGCCAGAGGTTTTTCAAGTGTTCAAGGTAGGGTCCTAGCATGTGAATTTTAAAAAAAGCCAACAGGTACTTCTGATTCAGTAGCTGATTGTCTCTGTGGCATGTATATGACACTGGAGGTGATGGAAATGGCAGGAGATAATTAGTGAGAGTTAAGTGCCATAGAGTAGAAGATCAAAAGATATTTAAAGTATTTACATTGTGTTTATGTGTGATGATAAATACCTTCATTGAAGGTATCTTTTAATTATGTTTCAAATAAAATATTAAAAGTTTGTTATTTTATGATTTTCAAAGTTTAGGTTTAAATCTAGAGTTCCCACAGGCTGAAATTTAACACATCTATACCTATAATTTTATATTCATAAAAGTTTGTTTTATTTTGTTATTTCAGGATAATCAACGAAGTCAATTAATGGAAAAGACCAATTTTTAAGTAAGTAGTTTCTTACACATTTCTTATATCAGAGGCTGGGTTTAATTAATTTATTTTCCCCATGAATTCGGGAAATCAGAAAGTTTCTCATAATAAAAAAATCAGTAAGTGAATGTTCTTATAGTATTTTGATTTAATGAAGCTTTTCTATTCTCATGTTTCAAGGGTGTGATTTCATTTTTTAACATTGATTTTAATGTGTTAACTTTTCTATTGCAGGATAATCTTCTTATCAGCAGTAGTTATAGCACATCATAGGATGTTGTGTATTTTCCAGCACACAAGAATATTTAAAATGGCTAGAATAAAAAACTTGATGGAATTATGACTTATAATTCTGTTTTCACCATAACAAAACATGGCAAAATACTACATTGAATTGACTCTGTTACTTAAAATAATCATAAGCTACATATACTTTGTACCAGCAAGTAAATTATGTATTAAAATTATCTAGAGAATTAAAAACAATAGGAATTGGGCCTCCCTGGTGGTGCAGCGGTTGAGCGATGGGTTGTGAAGCTGCCCGCAGCCTCTGCAGCGCTGGTTCGATCCCCGGCTGCTCCCCGGCCACCAGAGGAGGGTCCCACATGGCGCACAGACCTCTCCTGCTGCCCGCTGCTCCCTTCAGCAGTGTACTTCGGTCCTTCTGCCTGCTCTGCTCCCCGCTCTGGCTCTGGTGAATTCTCTCACCCTCCCGCACTTCTGACTGTACCAGTGCTTGTATAAATAAATAAAATAAATAAATCTTAAAAAAATAAATAAAAATAAATAAATAAAGTTTAAAAAAATAAAAAAAAAAAAACCAGTAGGAATTATAGGTTGTATTTCAGTTCTACTAATGCAGAATTTTGGGAGATGATTTTGATGTTTAGCCTGGTTTGAGGACCACTACAATTTGTAATATTGAAGGGCTATAGTTTCAGGGATGTAGAAATTTGGGAGTTGTTCTTTATCTGTAGAGAGAACTCATCATACCCGTTGGAAAGCAGTTCTTCATATTTAGTTGGTTTACGTAATTGTTCAGAAAAGAAATGTGATTAGAGGTAAATTTGTTATTTTGATTTTTAGCACTTTTATTGAATAAATGATCGAAAAATCTTCCCCTTTTTGGACTAAGCAGAAAATACATTTAGTATCTTTCTCTCATGTCAGAATTAGATATATATGACACTGAGAGTTTACGTAATCTGATTTTGTACAGAAACATAATGGGAAAGTTAATGAACCTCATTAGTGTGTAGTAAATACACTGTACTAACAATTTAGAAATAGTAGTTTGTGTTTACAAATTGAGTACTATAATCTTCAGTACTGAGTGAATTCCTAATAACTAACAAATGAACAGAAATTGATAAAAAATAAATCATCTATGATTCCAATATTGTCAACAAACTACTCTGAGAAGATACATAGCTTTCCTCTTTACCCCAGACTTCCTGATTGATTTCAGTAGCTCACAGCACCCTTATTCTCCTAATTTTTATAAATATGTCTGAGTGGAATTCAAGAATGAACTTCTGTTCTCTGATATTATCCTAGGCACTTTTCTCCTGGTAGTAGGGAATTACTGCAATTTTTTCTTTTTCCCCCCCAGTTTGAGTATTCAATAGTAGCCATCTCATTGGTTATTCAAGATGCAGAACCGACAAGGATATTGCAGCTACTGCTGTGTGCGCTATAATAACCTGGAACAGGTAAGAGGATCCTATTAATACTGTCATATCTCAAGAGACTGACCTCGTTGTGAATTTCTCTTTTTCTACATTTATTAAACTCATTTATTCACTCAGGGCACAGATCATATTAAGAATCCAGTAGTTGATAGATACTGTGTAGATTCTAGGGATGTGAACATAAACCAAACCCTTTTTCCCAAAGCTTGCATTATAGTGCAATAAGGTAGAAAAGTTCTGTGCATCTAGTAACAATTTGTCAGATTGTGATAAATGTTACAAGGAAAATAAAATAGGGAAGGGAAGTTTTAGATAGGGTGGCCAAGTAGGTTAAGGAAGTGACATTTGAGTTGAGATTTGAATGAGGTAGTGGAGCCAGAGTTGCTTATATCTGAGGGAAGAACTTCTCGGCAGAGGGAAGAGAACAAGGACAGTGACCTTGAGGCAGAAAGGTGTGAACCAGGGCCTCCCTGGTGGCGCAAGGGGTTGAGATGCAACCTATGAAGCTATCCATGAAGCTATCCACAGTCACTGCAGCACGAGTTTGATCCCCGGGCAGGGAGCTACCCACATGGTGCAGCAGACCTCTCCTGTCTCGCCTGCTGCTCCCCTCAGCAGTGTATTTCACTCAATCCGCCTGTTCTGTTCCCCACTTTGTCTGGTGAATCCTCTCACCCCCCACACCTCTGGCCTGTACCCCAGTTCTTGTGTGCATAAATAAATAAATCTTAAAAAAAAAAAAGGTGTGAACCAAAAGCCAGGAGGACAAGGTGGCTGCAGTAAAGATAGGGTGAGGGTGTTAAGTGATAGGTGAAAACTTCAAAGAATTGATTCTCTAAGACATTGTAGGGTAAGGTAAGGACTTTGAATTTTATGCTTTTCTGCACAAAAGTTTCAAATTTTGCTAGACCTGAATTTAGGTTTTTTTTGTTAATGGTATCATAAAGATTGCCTAATTCAAGGTTATGAAAATTTATGCCTATTTTCTTCTAACAGTTTTATGGTATTAGTGCTTATATGTATGTCTTTGACTTACTTTGAATTAATTTTTGTATATGACTTAATTGCCTCCTAAAAGTCCTACTTCCAGATATAATGACATTGTTTCAGATTCAACATACGTATTTGGTGAGGTAAGGTGGGGGGGGGGTGCAAAACTCACTTTATAACAATTACCTTGCCATTCAACCAATTTTGCATTGCTGGGATCAATTCTACTTGGTCATGGAGTGTGATCCTTTCTATATGTTACAGGATTTGTTTTGCTAGTATTTTTTGAGGATTCACATCTCTTTTCATAAAGGCTGTTCTATATAACACTCTTTTCTTGTGATGTCTTTTTCTGGTTTTGGTATTAGGGTAATAATACTTAATAGGAGTAAAGTTCTTTCTCTTTTTGACAGAAGAGTGTAAAGCATGTGTAAAGATATTTTGAAATATGGATTTATGGTACTAGTAGCTGTAGTTTTCTGACCATGAGGGTTAATTTAGAAGAGTTTCAAGTTATTTTTTAAAAAATTTTTTATTATTTTTATATTTTTTTTACATCAGTTTTTAATTTTTGCACAATGTGTGCATTTTCATCTCGGTTATAGTCCCCATACAATTCCCACCCCCCTTGTTTTGATCCTACTCCCTTTTCTCCCCTCCCCCTCCATGGTGTGTCTCTGGTTTATAGTTGCCTGTTGATTTTTATTTATTATAATTAGTCTTTTTCCTGGTCCCTTATACAATAGCTAAGCTATGGAAACAACTCAAATGCCCCAAAATAGATGACTGGATCAAGAAGATGTGGTACATATACACAGTGGAATATTACTCAGCAATCAAAAAAGATAAACTCATGCCATTTGCAGCAACATGGATGGAGCTGAAGGGATCATGCTCAGTGAAATAAGCCAGAAAGAAAAAGAAAAATACCAGATGGTCTCACTCATAGCAGGAATTTAGAAAACCTAAATAAGGGACCAAGAAAAAGACTAATTATAATAAAGTAAAAATCAAGTTATTCTTCAGGGTCTCAGCTGTGGAATTGTGGCATAGGTGAAGTAGTAATACAATGATGTTCTGGTTCTACTAATGCTAAACTATTACATCTTAGATGCTATCTCAGACAAGTTGATAATATGCAGAAATTCTCCTGTATAGTGGTATTTATTAAATTATTTAATATTAATCCCTTAAGTTCATACTAAGGAAATTTTTTTATTGTGATTTCCACATCTCTGCCATTCAAAAAAGAAATGCTTTCGGTGTTTCCATGGTGGGTGTGGTGTGGTAATAACACCTGAAGTGGGCGATTCTATTTTCTGAAAACGTTGTAAGCAGTTGTAAACGTTTTACTTCAATAAAAAAAGAAATGCTTTTAATGCTGGTTACAAATGTCAGGAGACAGGTAAGTCTCAAAGCTCTTGTTACTATTTTTCTCATAACTGATAAATCATATCATCACTTGACTGGAAGATTCCTTGTTGAATCTTTGATAATGACAAAGCACAATCTTAAAGTATGTTATTAAATAAACATTCAGTATGTCATTTTTACTGAAGGTTTAAAATAATAATTTTTACACATTTGGAAATCTCCCTACACTAAAAGGACATATGATAACTGTTCACAAAAAAAAAAAAATACTTCTTAACTATTGTAGGACAGAATTCTGCTACCCCAAAATCTGTCTTTTTGGCAGAAAGTTGATTTCATAGGAGGAAATATGAAGGCTGTTAGTTAAGCTATTTAAGAAGGTGTCTGAAGCCACCCTGGTTAATTAATCATGCTGGGTCTCTGCTATGTATACAGGAGGTATGCATGTTGTTAGTAAACATCTTTCCACCTCGGTTAGCTCCCTGGCCAGGGATTGAACTAGTGCTGCAGTGGCTGCGGATAGCTTCATAGTGCTGTGTCTTAACCCCTTGCGCCACTAGGGAGGCCCCACAGAGCCTTGATTCTTGCTCCTAAAAGAAAGTATTGTCTTCAGGACTTAAATCTGTTTTTTTTTGAGAAGTGAAATATGGCCATGCCTTCTTTTTTTGGTTGCCATCTGGACACCTTGTTTCAGTATCTTCTTGAGGGTGTTTTGTTAGTATATGTGTTACTTTCAGGTTTGACTATGAATCTGAGCTTTGGGAGGGTTTTTTGTGAGCACCTGATAGCTCTCATGTGTTGTTAAAGATTTCCAACTTGTAGTTCAGGTGAAGGTCTTCTGCCCTGAGAAACTGTTCTTTTCCCTGGGTAGGATATTTGGGTCCCAAGTTATTGCCAGTCCCCCCCACCCCAAGTTCCAGTTGAGATTTGGGTAAAGGTGCTCCCAGGGCCAGACTTTTGTCTTTTTATAAGAAGATAAAAGGGCCTCCCCAGTGCAAGGGGTTAAGACGCATCACTGTGAAGCTATCCACAGCCACTGCAGCACCAGTTCCATCCCCAGCCAGGGAGCTGACCCACATGGCGCAGCAGACCCCTCCTGTTTTGCCCGCTGCTCCCCTTAGCGGTGTATTTCAGTAGATCTGCCTATTCTGCTCCCCACTCTGTCCCTGGTGAATCTCACCCCCCTCCCCGCACACCTCTGTCCTGTACCCAGCTCTTGCATGCATGCATGCATAAATAAATAAATCTTAAAAAAAAAAAAAGATAAAAGATACCACTGAGGAAATCTTGGGAATCAAAAGCTGCAAGTTTGGCAGATTTAGGTTATAGTTCTGACTCAAGAACTAAGGCTTACTTGAAAACTGTTAATTTGTATTTGTTACAGCGCATCCCAGAAACCCCGAAACCTGCCTGCTCTAAATAGGTTCCGCCACCCACCACATCAAAACAAAAGTTATAAGACCTTTAATGGAAAGGAACTTTAGTACAATTAGTGAACAACACAGAAAAAACAAAGAATATAGTTTCTAAATCAAGCACCCAAAGTTACTCATCCCCTCGGTGGGTGAAAGTCCACCCAAATGGGACTGGCCCAGCCACAAGTCTAAAGCACATTCCAGCGGGGACCCACAAAAAAGGGGGAGGAAAAGAGCAAAATCAAGATCAGTGCTGCCATTGTTATCCTCCCTACCAGTCTCTCACCCACACCTGTTTCAGCCAGTCCAGGACCAAAAGGCAGGTGGAGCTTCTTCACATGTCTCTGCTCCATGCGCCTCCTCCAGGCCTCCTTCTGCCTCTCCGTCCTGCTTCCTTCCTTCCTCTGTCTCCTCTCCAGTTTCTTCTCCTGTCTGCTTAGCTCTACCCTCCTTTGGGTGGGGCAGGGAACCTGGAACCTCCCCTTTTCCTGGGCACCACCCTATTACATATTGAGTCTTTCCTTTTGTTGTGCTGTTAGTGGGCAGAACGAGGGGCATCCAGGGAGTCCCAAACCTGCCTGCTCTAAATGGGTTCTGCTATCTGCCACATAAAAAAAAAAAATTCTCTACTGCATAAGACCTTCAGTGGAAAGGGATTTCAGTACCATCAATGTGCGATAGTGAGAAGAGAAGGCAAAGAGCATAGTTTCCAATTCAGGCACCCCAAATTGCCCATCCCCTTGTGGGTAAATACCCAGCCAAACAGGGTTGGCCCAAAGCAAGACTGCTGAGGACCCAAACCTTGCCACAAGTCTAAGGTCCCTTCTTGTAGGGAACCACCAGGAAGGAGCAAGGCAAGCTTGGGAGGAAAAGAGCAAAATCAAAATCCAAGTCAAGATAAAGGCTGCCATTGTCAGCATCCCTTTGGGTCTCTCACCCACGTCTCAGTTTCTTTCCATGTCCCTCAAGTTCCTGGTCCAAGATCGAGAAGCTGGCACAGCTTCTTCACATGTCTTTCTGCTCCATATGCTTTCTCCAGTCTTCCTGTCTCTTCCTGCATATCCCTCTGCGTTTCACTGCTTTTCCTTCTACCAGGTTTGCTTCTTCCTCAGTCCTTCTTCCAATCTTCTAGGTTCACCTCCCTGCTCAGCCCTACTGTTCCTTAGCTCTACTGGTCCCCTTTCTCTGGGGACTACCCTGTTTCATTTCCCCCCTTTTCATTTTTCCCACCATTTCTATGGT